TCTAACAGTGCCATGGGACCTTTAATGACCAAGTAGCTAGGACCTTGATTTAATTCTCATCTAAAGGACAACACCTGCGACACAATTGATTTGGCAATTTATATCCCAGAGTCTAGATGCTACTTACAATAGGACCTACAGCAGCAACCTTGGTTTAAGCGGTCTTCCATTCCCAATCCTGAATATAGCCAGTCCTATTCAGTGCCTGAGATCTGACAAGAAAAAGCTATATTTAGATGTTTTTTAATGCAAGCTATGAAACATTTAACCACAATGCCTTCCTCTCAGACTGAGTGTGAGCAGCTCGATGTTTAACCTTCACCTCTGCCAGGTATGATTGACTACAATTTATAACTTCTATCACAGAGACCATAAATATACTTTATTGAACAGCAGGGTTTGAAAACTGTCAACTCACACAGATTGATCCAGCCTAAATCTCTGGGTGTCAACATCAAACATAATATGGTGTTTATGAATTCCTAATTCCTTTTGTGTCTTTTTTAATCTGACATTTTAAAATAATCTATTTCATGTGCTGAATGGCAGTATAGTACACTGCATTAGGAAACATTACAGATAAAGACTAATGAATAAAACAAAATTCGGTCACATCAAGTCCTCTGAGGTAAAGCTTCTGTTGAGTTCCAGGGGTCAAAGGTCGCCGGCTACACAAAAGACGTCACTCATGGGAGTCAAAAAGCCACAGTCCCTGTGGCTTACAACATGCACCCCACTTAGGACACACAGTGGAAGGACAGCCTCCCAGCAGGGAACACAAACAAACATCACCAGGAAAGAACTCAATGTGTAAAACTAAATGGGAAAAAAATCACTGAATGTAAACAATCTGCCCTTTTAGGACATTATTTGGAATCTGTTACTCTGATTTATTTTCTGCTTCTTGTCCGCCACAGAGCAGGCTTGTTTGCACCTTCCACGAGTTTGTTTTCACACTCACACAGAACAGAGGGGGAGATGGGTTTAAGAATACACCTGGATAACATATATTCCGCTTTTTCGGACTAAGTCACCAAATTAGCTCTTTAAATATTTACCTCATGAAAATGTCGCCCAGCATTTTCGGAAGGAATAACTCGAGGTGTAATTATACTGGTCAGATCTGTATTTGTTTATTTAAATAACATACAAATAAATGTGTTTTTGTCGACCATACACAGCAAACAGGGAGCCAATTTTTTTTATAAACTGACCAGCAGAATATACACTGGGTCCCTCCTTTGTCAAAGACATCTTTGGAAATCGTTTTATTCAGCTTAAACCTTCCAATGTATTGTTACCGTTGCCGTTACGGTGTCATATCTCTGAAAGGCCATTTATTCTGTTAACAATTTGTCATTTCTTTCTTAAATGTACCCAAACGGGGAGCCAGTTCTTACCATTTTGCCATAGCCCATGATGCATTCCAGCACTGGTATTCAGTACTTCCAGGACAAAATAAGGTTCAATATACAGTATCTTGTTCTTTAGACCCTTGACAATTTTAACATTTTGTTACTTTCCTAAGTGATGACACTTTGAAGTAGCAATAAATCCATTTTAAATACAACACACATTCCACACATTTAACTTAAATTGTATTCTAATAAAAAAAGAAATTGATAATGTGAAAGAAAAATGAAAAGTCATGATTGCAGTATTCAAACCTTTTATGTGTAAAACACATCAATTTGCAGTAGGTGCACTAGAGTAAATTTCCTTAGCAAGTTACACGCTTATTTTGGCAATACTAGTGGTTCACATGATTTTAGAATAAATACAATCCATTTCTGTAAACTCTGATTTGAGTCCCCCCTTCAGGCAGTGAATTTCCTCTCTCAGTCCAAAGACATGCTGGTAGGTTAACTGGCCTCTGGGAAAACTGTGCTGTGAATGTGTGTGTGAGTATGTCACTATGCTCTGTGGCCCATCCAGGGTGTATCCTGCCTTGTGCTCATTGCTTGTCAGGTTAGCCTCCGGCTCTCAATGACCCTGCATCGGATAAAGCAGTTAGAAAATGGATGGACGGATCTCTTAATCATTTTAAACAAATTACTGTAGCATATAAGGACCGTGACACATAAAGCTCAAGGTAAACTACAGTAGGCATGTATCATTCATGTTAGCGCAATGCACACTGTACAATGGAGTTACCGGTTCGTGTGAGTCCAGTAAGAAGAGAAGTAGACAGAATGTGGCACAACTGAAGTTCACAACCTCAAGTTCTTGGTACAACATATTATAAATGTGACCAGGGGGTACACAGGAAGTGTTAGATTGAATTCATAC